CTACTCTGGTTTATTCTCAGGTTTCCAACTAAAGAATCGGGCTAACATAACCTACTGGCAGTTGCTCTTTGTTCACGTTCATGTACTGTTGAATGCAAAAACCTCTCCATGTTCTCAACAAGCGTTACCTATTGAGGAATCCATCATTCTCTGGTGTTTCCTTTCCTGGCAGACAAGACCATCTTGGAAAAAGTTTCAACTCAAGATAGAGCCTTCCTTAAATGCACAGAAACACTTTTCAGATAGTATTGATTACAAGTTCCAAATGATATGAACAGCCTTGACCCAGATATGCACGTTTACCAAAAGGAAGGAATTGTTTACATTACACAGAAAATACTCTTAAAGATACACTCAATCAAAAAATGTCATTGGTGCCCTTTAATAGCAGGAGTCTACACTCAAATTTTGAAAACATTAAAGATTATTCAAATCAATTTGAAACACCTTTCAATTATTTAACTCAGGGGTGTCAGAATCCAGTCCTCGAGGGCCGCTGTCCTGCAGGTTTTAGACATTTTCCTACTTCTACACACCTGATTCTTATTAAATTGGATCTCCTCTGGACATTGTTGAGCTTTGCACCTGTCTAATGGCCCTTTGATGTGAATCAGGTGTGTTGAAAAAGGGTTACCTCTAAAACCTGCAAGACAGCGGCCCTCGAGGACTGGAGTTTGACACCCCTGATTTAACTTTTTCTGCTTTTTGGCTCTCATTGAAATCAATGGAGAAATCTTCAACTCTGTCTTAAACTTTGACCTACGTCAGCCTTAACTACTTCAGCCTATTTTCACCTATTAAAAAAATTCAACTTTTATACGGCTCTCAAGGCATTCAGCTATCGATGTATGACTCTTCTTTTAAAAAATTCTGCCGTTTTTTTAAATATGGCAGTTTTAAAATCATTAAAAAATGTTCTTACAAAACAAAAGATAACAGTTTGTATCTTTGGATGTTTTTTATTTCTACACGTACACAAAAGCACAGTAATAACACATGTGATGATGATATTTGCCTTAATTGAAATATTCTTCAAGTATTAAATTGACGTTCAATCTCAAACATCTTTTTTTCAGCTCAGCCGGTGTCTCCGCCTCTCCAAAACAAACTAGTTCTGCTGCGTCGCCCCCTATTGGTCGACCCAGTCACGTCATTCCTCGTTTGTTGCTAGGCTGGGTCAAAGTCAAAGATGTCTGCCAGGAGGCCTTCACAACCCAAGTCGAGTACGTTGTTGCTTTAACCAATCAGATTTTAAGTAGAAGGCCTTAGGCAACGTCACTGTATTCACTCCGCTGATTGGATAGTCAGATAGCGTATCAGCCAACTTTATCAAACTATATATAGACTATATAGAAATATAGTCGCTATTTTATGATTTGGTGTCCGATTTACTGATTTGGTGTGCGATATACTATCAAGGCCATTTTCGAAACGGACTTTTCAAGAAAAGTGAGTAAAATTTTGCTATTTTCCTAAATAATATTGCGAGTCTATGAGGATTTTATTGACCTTTTTTAGTTTTTATGTTTTTTTTGGGACTTGATTAATGTTGGCGTGTTATTATTAGCCATTAGCCGCAGCTAGCAATTCCAGGCTAACGTCACGTTAATGATCACAAACAACGTAAATAATTAAATAAATCAGAGGCAGGTCAACCTAGCGGGGGGTGGCGGGGGTGGTATCGATTCTTTTGAAAATGAGTATCATATCCATTAAACAGCGTTTTAGTATCCATACTCTTTGGAGTATAGATAATTTTGACAACCTTTATATTAACTTATATTTTTCGTCTCTTTACAGAATGTTTATAAGGGAGGTCCTACATGAAAAGGTCCATGGACCATATTACAGGCCCCCCCCCACTAAAAATACACATATTGGTGACCAGGGAGCAGACGCGCGTCCTCTCATGGGACTTTGGGGAAACGACGGCTACCCCAAAAAGTGTAAAAACTAACAAAGTCTTGGCCATCAATGATGGCAAAGTTCATTTAAATGT